GGGGCTAGAGTAGCCCTCTGGCTGTGGCAGCCTGTGAGAGGGGGGCTGCTCCTGCGTACTGGTTAACTGGTTACCTGTTCGCATCCTTGGCACAGAAGCATAAGATCTATAAGAATGGATAGTGGGCCTTCTAGCCGATTATCCTGTCCTCTCCCCCAACCCCATCCCCCTTCTTGTTTTCTAGTTACTGTAATAGCTAATCAAGCCATGGAAAGAAAAGGAATCCATTGGGGAAAGGTCTATTACAGGTAAAATCTGCTCTGACTAAAGATGATTGGACTGGGTTGTTGGGAGGAAATTGCTTAAGAATAAGCAAAGCCTCTCCACTTTAGATGAGCATATGGCACAATGTTGATGCCTTGGCACTGTATTACCACTAGCCCTGGCAGAATTGCAGTCTGTCTAAATGTTGCAGGGGCTTTACGCCATTACACTTGAATTAACAACTAACATTATAGGTTTCTCGTTTGTAAAGTGTGCTATTTCCATGTATAGAAATGCAGACATGTGAAGAGGGGGAGATAATAGATTGTGCAATTCATATGACACATCTTGGTTGGTAGGCCTATTTTTACTGAAAGAGTTCTTATTATGTATTACCCAGGGTCTGGAAGAGGTACAATACGCAAATCTAAAAGTATACAATAAAATGTAAAAAGCAACTTCACAAGAAAAATGTTTGAATTGGCCCTGGTGAAAGCACAGCAGTCTGTCCAAATCATATTTACCTTGAAAAGTTGCATCTCGCTGAGTAGAAGGTTAACTTCTAGCTTCATACGTGCCAAGAACACAGGAACGGAAGCATCTGGGCTTGTTTCTGATGCCAGATCATACCACCTTTTAGCTAAATGTATATCCTTTAAAAAAGAAAAGGAAAGGGGGAGGTCCTCTTATTTAAAAAATCTGAAATTTTCTTAGAGGAATGTTGTGATGCCTAGCTAATCATCAGAACATTTCTACTGTTTTTTTTAAGTTTCTGCTTTTCAAGCATTTTAGAGTTTACTGTATCTTTTATCCTATTATCTCTTTTATGCAAAAGAATAAATGGAGACAAATCAAACAAAGAATGGTAATGTTCAAAAAGCAATAGGAGAGCATGTCAGTCTTCCTGGACATTCAGTAACAGACTTGAAAGTTTCCATACTTCAGCAAAAAAAACCTTCAAAAACAGACTTCAGCTTGAAACTGCAGAGCTAGAATTCATATGCAAACTTGACACTATTGTACTGGGTCTGAATAAAGACTGGAAGTGGCTAGCTCACTACAGAAAGTAACTTTCTCTATATTGGTATTCACACCTCTTCAGCAACTGTTGCGAGAGGCCACATATATCATGATTGAATTGACCTAGTTAGCACTGGTCCTCAGCATAGTAATATAACACACCCACCTCTGCATGTGTATGTATCCCTGCAAACAGAAGTTTCCATTTCATGCATTTGACACAATGTGTTCCAGCCTATGAGAACTTGTGCCCAAATATCTTAGTTTTTAGGGTGCCCCAGGACTCCTAGTTGTTTTTGTCAATTCTTAGCTGAACTTTAACTATTTCAGTTGAGTTGAACTCATCACACTCAAATGTTTTAAAATTTGAACACAGGTGTGTTTGGACTCCACATTAGGAGATGCCACTAAGCTGGGAAAGGAAACTGGGGAGGGAGGAGTAGCTCTAACATAATGGTGCTCAGAGTGTTATCCATGGAGCTGTTATATCACAGGCCACATCTACGCTACAAGATAGAGCCGAATCTATTATGGTCAATTTCTGGTCACCTGATTTTGCAGTCGAAGGTCTGTGTCCTCACTGCGGGGAAGAATTCACTAGTCCTAAGTAGTGTGTCCCCATTAAGGAGCTTGCTGCTGACTTTGAGAGTGAGTAGTTATCCTGCAGTGCTTGAACCACTTTGCATTCTGGATTATGCTCCCAGTGCATGCTGGGACCAAAACTGCAGTGGGTGGGTATGGGTTCTTACCAGCATCCCATAATGCACTTGTCTAGTCTCTCCCCACTTGCTTGAGATCAACAGGAAAGAACAGTCTTTTTGCTCCCTTTTTGGCTCTGGCTGCCTGCACAGATGCCATAGCAGTGTAAGCATGGATCCTGTTTTGCATCAAACCGTTGTTATGTTAATGTCTGCCTTGGTGTGCCTAATAGCAAAGTATTGTGAGAGTGTACACGTCATTCCACTAGGAAAAGGGCAAGGCCCAATCTCAGGATCCCATGGAGTTGCTATTCATACAATCCCTTGTGTAGATGCAAACACAGCTGCCAGTTAATCTTCTGGGCACAGTGGAACACTGGTTCTGGTGTCCTGGGACAAGCACAGACTGGTGGAGCTGCATTGTGATGCAGAGATGGGACAATCACCAGTGGCTGCAAAACTTCCAAAAGTGCAAGGTCAAGTTTCTTGGAACTATGTGAATGGCTTGCCCCTGCCCTGAAGTACAAGAATATGAGAATGAGACCTGCTCAGACCATGGAGAAACACATGGCAATAGCCCTATGGAAGCGTGCAGTGCCAGATAGCTACCAGTCACTTGGGAATCAGTTTGGAGGGGAAAATCTACAGTGGGGGCTATTGTCACAGAAGTAGCCATGGCAGTCGATATCCCTGAGCTATGGAGGGCTGTGACTCTGGGAAATGTGGATACTGTAATGCATGGGGTTCCCAAACTGTAGTGGAACGATAGAACAGACATCCCCATCTTGCCTCCCAGCCACCTTGCCAAGGAATACATAAACCACAAGGGGTACTTTTCCATGGTTTGCAGGCACTGTTGGATCACAAGGGCAGTTTCACTGACATATATGTGGGATGGTCATAAAAGGTGCATAATGCTCATATCTTTAGGAACTCCATTCTCTTCAGAAAAATGCACGCTGGAACTTTTTGCCCAGACCAGAAAATCAGAATTGGAGAGGTGGAAATGCCAATAGTGATCATTGGTGATCCCGCCTTTCCTTTGCTCTTGTGGCTCATGAAGCTGTATACAAACAGCCTGGACCCCAGAAAAAAGCAATAAATGTAGCAGGGCCATAAAGGAGCCATATTAGGAAGGTCAATGGTGATCACTCCGAAAGCTTAATTTGGTTATTTTTCCATCATGGTCTGTGGGTGAACCTAGGCCTGAGGGAAGCAAACCTATTGCCCCTTCTGCCTGAGGCTCTGCTCTCATCCCCTCCCCCTGACCTTCACCTTAGGGGCAGGCCACCCTTCCCAGTGGGAGGCAAGCAGCCCCAGACTTCCTTGGCCCTGGGAGCACGGTATGTACTCTGGCCTTCCCCAGAGCACAGGGAGGGAGGGCAGCTTTTGTATTTTTCCAGCCTTTCTGATGCAACTTTAGGTTTTTTTCTTATTCGTAAACAACTAATTGCATTTTTGAATGTTACTAAACCGGTCTCTCTGATAACACATGGTCTGAGACCTTACAGGTGGATTATGCACTGTTTGTAACTGAATTTCCATTTTAATGCACTATATCTTCATTTCCCAGCCTTGTTTTTATGTGGCAAGAGGAAAGAGCACTCACTTGGCCTCCACCAAATCATCTGTTATTTCATGTGTATCTCTCAGTGATAGCCTGCCTGATACTCGTTTATAATTTTAATAATCTGTTTTCCTAATTTCCCCTCATATGGGAGATTCTGCCTCACTCAGAATATATAATAAAAGCTATAATTGCATTTAATTTCAACTACATCTATTAAGGTTAATTTTACATAGATGCACCATATTACCTTAGGAATACCTAAACCATGTTCATACATATATGCCAGATTAAACATGGCTTGAGCAATGTGGTGATCGACTGCAAGGCTGTAATGAATTGCTGCTGTGACATAATCCTTGTTGGTTCCATAACCATAAAAGTGATAATCTCCCGTTTTAACTCTAGCAAATGCATTGCCTGGTGGAAACATTAAAAAGAAAAGCCACATCAAAAATCTGTATTAAACTACTATTCTTGGTAAATTTCTTCTTCTAATAAAAATGTATTTTTCTCTTAAATATAATTAAAAATGAATAAAATGTAAATTTGAAGCATGATTTTAGTCATAAAATTATTATATTTTATAGAGAATAGTAAATGGGAAGGAACTGGGGAAAAAGTAGGTGTTTACAATACAGCAGTAGGAAGGAAGTCCCACATGTAAGGGATGGCATGGAAAAAGGTGTATGTGGGAGAAGAATAAGAAAGGGACTGATAGGAGGGCCTCTTAGAAAGCGAAGAGCAGAAAGGAAAGTATGAGGAAATGAACACTGAAATGCATGTGGGGCAGAGTTAGCATATAACTTGAAGGTGAAAGCTTGATTTTGATGTGCAAAGAAAGCAGCATGTTGTCAAGGAAGAGCTATAACAGCCATATTTTGAATAAAATAACGGAGCAAGATGACAAGATAAGAGCACTGCCATGTCAAAGGGGATGAAGAGGAAAGGCGAGATTTTTATGTGAAGGGAAAACAGATAATATAGCAACAGTTTGAGCATGGATGGGGAAAACCAGGGAGGGGGGAGGCAGTAGGAAGAGCAGGAAGAGGAGGAGAGAGAGAGAGACAGAGCGAGAGACTGGAGGCTCAGGAGAGAAGACCGATGTGGAGGAGAGACCTGAAAATCCCGTCTTATGATGGGCTAATTATCTAGTTAATTAAAGAGTGGATATTTTGACAGGAACAGAAAAGAGAAGAAATGGGAAAACCATTAGGGGAATTTAATGTGCCATTTTTAAGCAATAAAGAACCTCCAATGAATTTATAGAAACACAGCTGAAGATGTGAGACAAGCTAGGGGAAGTATTGTCAGGAATGTGATATGTGGAGAGATCTGGAAGTCACCAGGTCTGGCTGACAACTGAAACCATGAAAACAGAGAACATCTATTAGGAGTAAAGTATGAAGAAACAGAAGGACATTCCTCAGAGCACGTGTCCACAGAGCAGGAAAAGGAAACTTGAGCTACTGCCAGAAACAATGAGGTGCAGTTGGGTTGGAAGGAAGAGAAATCAGGAGTTCTAAGGCTGAAGGGGAGAGAGGGAGGAGAAGGAAAGAATGGCTGACGTGATCAGGTAAAAGTGAAATATCCAGGAACTAACGAGACCTTTAAAAACTTGACTAAAGGAGATCATTAGTGATCTTGGTAAGACTGGTTTCAGTGAAGTGAAGGAGACAACAATTTGGTGCTGTATATCGAGGAGGGATTTGGGCATGTAGCAGCAAGAATAGCTTACATATTCCAGGTACTTGCAAATAGTGCATTTGGAGATAAGAAGGGTAGGGGGGGATCTAGATTCCAAGCAGTAGTAAGGGGAAGACAGAAGGCATGGGATGGAATTAAGGTTACTTGAATAGATTCAGTAGGGAAGTAGGATGGGAAGCTGGGCATGAGGGAAAGGACAGGCTTGAGAGTGATGGCACCAGAAACTAAGGCTGTGTCTAGACTGCAGGTTTTTTTTGAAAAAAGTAGCCTTTTTTCGAAAAAACTTCATCTGCGTCTAGACTACAGCCACGTTCTTTCAAAATTAAATCGAAAGAATGCGGTTTTTCTTTCGACGACGGTACTCCTCATTTCACGAGGAAGAACGCCTTTTTTCGAAAGTGCTCTTTCGAAAAAAGGCATTCTTAAATGCAAACAGGGCTTTTTCAAAAGAGAGCATCCAGACTGCCTGGGTGCTCTCTTCTGAAAAAGCGGCTCACTTTTTTGAAAGAAGAGGTTGCAGTCTAGATGCTCTTTTTCGAAAGAAGCTTTTTCGAAAGTATCTTTCGAAAAATCCTTTTTCGAAAGAGGCTTGCAGTCTAGACGTAGCCTAAGAGAGAGAGAGGACTAGCAGAAATGTGGATGAAGTCAGGCGAAATGGCAGATGAATAAATGGAAGATTACTGAAGTTAAAGCACTTGAAATAGCAAGTTTGTTCATGGAGTCACACATCAGTGGCAAAATGAACCATTTTCACTGGTTTCTAGTAATGCTCAGGATTGTTTTTTATGAAACAAAAAACAGGACTATGTAGCACTTTAAAGACTAACAAGATGGTTTATTAGATAATGAGCTTTCTTTATCCATATCCTTTATGATCCCTAGATTGGATTGCTGAAATGTGATGTACAGAGGGTTTCTCCTGAAAGCTACTTGAAGGCAGAAGAGGCAGAAATTACAGGTTCTTAATTCTTGTTGGTAGCAGACACTAAATAGAATATACTATGCAAATTTGTTGAAAGCTTCATCAGATTCTTGTTGGTTTCAGGACGTTTTGAGAATGTTGATATTCATCTATAAAGATTTTTGTGGCTTGGGTCTTGGCTACCTAGCAAACTGTTGTTTTCCCACATGCCACTGCCGTATGTTATTAGCTGAAGGATTTTTTCCTAACACTCTATTGCACTGAATGTCTGTGACTACTGGCAGGCATATTTTCATTTGAGGGTCTTTGGCAGTGTAATTGGTTTTTTTCCCCTATTGTTCTGTGAGACAGGATATCCAGGTTGTAAGTAGGATCTTACACTATGATGCAGAGGTATTTCTGCTGATTGACTAGTGTAGGTGAAGCCAATCAGGGCAAAGCTACAAGTATAAGGAGGAAGTGAGCCTGTCTCCAGAAGAGAAGAAAATAGTGGACTTACTATATGTAGGGAGGAATCTTGGGAATACATCAGGCAGAAGTTTTTGTGGGATTAAAATTGAAGGCAAACTTCAACTGAAAGTTCTAAGTTTTGGAAACAAAGACTGCATGTGGATGCTATCTTAGGGTATGTCTACACTACCACCCTAGATCGAACTAGGGCTTCATTTGCATCTTGCCAGGCGCCACCATTTTTAAAGCCCCGCTAGTTCGGACTCCATGCCTGTGGCTACACGCGGCTCGGAGTAGGTAGTTCGGATTAGGGTTCCTATTCCGAACTACCGGTACACCTCGTTCCACGAGGAGTAACGGTAGTTCGGAATAGGAAGCTTAATCCGAACTACCTAGTTCGTGCTGCAAGTAGCCGCGGGCACGGAGTCCGAACTAGCGGACATTTAAAAATGGCGGCGCCCGGCAATATGCAAATGAAACCCGGGAAATTCAAATCCCGGGCTTCATTTGCAACTCCGGTTGCCTACATTAACCACCCTAGTTCGAAGTAGGGTGGTAGTATAGACATACCCTTAGGGACTCTAGTTGTGGTAAGCAGAAAATTGGTGATACAGTTTAATAGATTTTTAAATCCAAAAGGGACCATTATGGTCATCTAGTCTCAGCCCCAACTTAAAACAGTTACTTACACCAAGTAATTTCTGCATCAAGACCATACATTCTGACTGACCTGCAGAATTTTGGAAAAAGACATACAGTTTTGATTTAAATATTTAAAATGACAGAATCCATCATACTCTTTGGTAGGTTGTTTTCAGTGATTACCTTCACTGTTAAAATTTTGCCAATTATTTCTATTCTGAAAACACCTGGTCTCAGTTTGCAGCCACCTCTGTCTGCTAAAACAAAGGCTCCTCAGCTGGTCTACACCAGCATAATTATACTGGTGAGAGGTGTGAAAAAAAACACATCCTATAGCATATCTGTGCCAATAAAATACTGTGTAGAAGCAAATGAATGATTCTTTTGGAACACCTAGGCTGTGTCTAGACTGCCCCCCTTTTGCGGAAAAGGGATGCAGATTAGCCACAGCGCAATTGCAAATGAAGTGGGGATTTAAATCTTACCCGCTTCATTTGCATGAACATGGCTGCCGCTTTTTTCCGGCTCGGGGCTTTGCCGGAAAAAAGCGCCAGTCTAGACGGGGATCTTAAGGAAAATAAAGCCTTTTCCGAAAGATCCCTTATTCCTGATTTTAAGAGGAATAAGGGATCTTTCGGAAAAGGCTTTATTTTCCGAAAGATCCCCGT